TATATAATATTATTATTAATATTAACAATAATAATAATAATAATAATAATAATAATAATAATAAAGATAATGAAAAATGGCAAGTTTGCTGAATCTTTAGGTGTAAACTAGCAGTCAATGTCATTGCAAGCATCTCTGTGAGTGATGAAGACCCGATCATGCTTAATGCAACATCCAAATCTACTCGCGTGCACGCATGCGTGTAGCGAGTGTGCCATTGTTTCCCAACTGTTGGTACTTAGCTCGCGGGTTAGCGACCGCTCACGAGCAGCCCTCCCCGGAGCGCCATCAACTGTAGATTACATTTGCATATTTCCACACTGACCACCACACACTTCTCGCCTCATGCTTCGCCTAGGTCGCAACCTGCTTTAAACGGATAACCACCAATCACAGATACTAAGTTTAGCAACACACTCGCGGCCTAGACCACGCAAATCTATAGGAAGCAGTGAAAAAAAACACAGGGGCTCGGGGCGATTTAGCCCCCGAAATGCCAAAAAGAGCCCCGGAAATGCCAAAAAGAGCCCCCGTAAATTTGCATAGAGTTCGATGCAAACCAAATGTTAGTGCTATTTTCATGCACGCGAGCTTGAAAAGTAGCCCCCAAAAAATAATTTTTCCCCCTGATAGGAAGCAGACAGATAGTAATACACACGTCTATAGATCCGACACCTTGTCTATAAAGGCCAGTTTTGGCATTTCCTCTACGTGGCAGTTGTCAGATATTCTGTAAAATAGTCTCTATAGAACCAACACTATTAAGGGAACTTTTGGAGTTTGGTTTGAGTCACTCTTATGCACAGGCAGGTACCAAACTAAAATAAGGAACAGCAGCGAACATTAATACTAACAAGAATACATAATGGAAAATTCTATTAATAGAATAGAATTAATAGAATTTTGTTCTATTAAGGACTTTTGATACTAACTTGAGAATAGTGCGCATTAATAATAATAAAAGCGTAGTGTACACTACTACCTTAGGTAAAAGGATAACGTACATTAATACTAACATGAACATCTATGTAGTATCCACCAATACCAACATAAAGGTATTAGATGTAAAGTAACGTGCAGTAAACATAAGATAACTTGTGCAATAATGCTGACGTAAGCGTAGTGTGCGGATTAGTGTGTTGATTGATAACTGTATAGGCAGCTGACCTGTGACGGTGAGATGTGCGCTGGCTGTGACTGAGCCTAGCTCGTTAGCTGCCTCGCACGTGTACACGCCTGCGTCGCTCTGCTTCACGTCGGCTACGAACAGGTCTCCGCTCGACAGGATCTGCAGGTGCGACGAACTGCTGACGTCCTTCCCTGCAACGTGACGGCGAGGCTGAGCAAGGTCACACGCGTCACACGTGTCACTTAACACACGCTCCCTACCCCGCTCGCGCCATGCAGCCCGCCCGCCAGCGCTAATGGTCCACGCATTAATCTCGTACGAACGTAAACGGAATATCGTGTATAGATGTCGTGTATCGCTTTGAGCGGCAGGCGCAGCATCCTCCTCCGCTCCCCGCGAAAGAAAAATCATCGCACATAAAACTCTCGACATTTACGCAATTATGCAAAAACCGACAAGAGCTCAGCTGGGAGTAAGCCGCAGCCTCGTCATTCTCCGCCCGGACAACTATTTATATCAAACAATCAGTTTTCTCCGCAGCTTACGCATTGCACGAGTACGTACGCAAACATCTGAACAGATAAACGATTGACTGCACGTCCGCTTAAATTCTACCAGAGATATGGCAAAAAGAACCTATTGCGAATCACGTAAAATCATTAGAGGGAGAGTTTCACGCACGCGCGCGCACTCACTGAAAATATCAACTAGGATTTAAGCATGACGAGTGCACGAGACAGATAGATGCTGAAGGGAGAAGAAATTAGAATAACAATCAATCGTGCAAAGCGCGTTATATTTGCATCTAAATGTAACAGTATACCTCTTGGTTGTGCTTCCAGTGCAGAGAAAGAGAGTGAAAAGAGAAGAGAGGAGACACATGAATTCACTGCACGTATAACCCACCGGTCCCTCCTATTCAATTCAGTCTGGCGACATTTCCACTGCGTTGCCAGACCTCAAACACTGCAATTTCCCATTTTCGTCGAATAACGGATTCCCACGCTAACAGTGTCTAACGCGAGAATCCGCCCTCTCACACCATGGCAACATTTTTTGAAAACTGCTGCAAATAATTGAAACGGCAGGGACCTCCCAAAGCACATTCCCCGCCCTAACCCTCCTTTCCACTCCCGAGTTCGAATCACTCCACAGGGGCACTAATGATCGCTCACACACAAACGCACGCACTCACGCACGCATCCAACGCACACACGCACACACGCTCACACGCTCACACACACTCACATATATACAACACGCACGCACGCACACACACGCACACAAGCTCACACACACTCACATATATACAACACGCACGCACGCACACGCACGCACACACACACGCACCCATACACACACAGAGAGATTGAAAGCACACAGCTCAGAGAGGATAGAATGGACATCAGCAGCACGTATATCCGGATGAACGTTAGCGACAACTAACAGCACATACGTACATTCACGGCATCGCGAACATGCATCAATCACGACGACGAGTCCGTAGGTACGAACAACACACAGACACACGGACACGGACACAGACACACAGACACACACACACACACGAGCTTCTGTACCATCGTGTTTCTGGTGCCCTGTGCAGACCTCACCAGACGTGATACACACGCTGCTCTTTCCCGACCCGGTGCCTCCACCTCGAAACCAATAGACTTTAAGTACACAGGAGTTTCATGAAAGCACGACACATATAACACGCACACGCGCTGACCCGACCGCGTGCATAGAAATCCATACATGTTTCTATAGCGTGAACAACCGACAGCGCGCGCCTAACACAACCGCTTTAATGCGCGAATTCAAAATCAAAAGCAACCTTCAAATGCCGGTATTTCGGCTACACGTTCCCCCACGCTAATTGCTCGTGTACACTCAATCACCGCATGACAGACTGTCACGACACATCCGACGCGCGTCGACGCATACCATTGAACTTCCACGTGACGGTGGGCGTCGGCGCGCCGTCAACCTTGCAGACGACCGTCACGTCCTCGCCGTCCAGCACTGTCATGTTGCTAGGCAACGCAACCCACACAGGTGCCGAGCCTGAAAACGAGATCGGATTACGTAGAGCGAAAATGAATTTCGCCGCCGATTCGCGAAGGATGATTTTTTTTTGGTGCACAGCTGGAAGTTTCTACCGACAAGATAATTGAGCGAGCGAGCAGCGACGTCGCCGCAAGAACAGCTGATGAACACGGCGAAGACGACGACGACGACTGCCCATAAAATCGAAGCCTGTGTAAACACGCGTGCAATAACACGAGGCGCAGAGGATTTTTCCAGAGCCGAACCCTGGTTTACCACAGGTTTAATTGCGGCGAGGGTTTTACTCGGCGCGTGAAAAATTCTCGCGTCGTCAGGTAAAAGCCCGGCTATATTTGATCAACTATAATTGTTGAGCAATGATCATACGTGCGCCGCAAGCAACACACAGTCGCATGCTGCAGTCGGCAGCCGTATAATCATTTATGCTGATAATTATAGAAATATATCATATATATATATGTAATGTACGTATAAAATGTACAATATATATATTTATAAAATATACAATACATATATATATATATATATTTATTTATTTATTTAGAAAAATAGAATAGGGTGTTAAATTTTAATCAGCAAGCTTTCGAAAAATATCTCTCTTCATCAGGCCAGATAAAGCCTAGCTTGACGAAGAGAGATAATTATCGAAAGCTTTCTGATTAAAATAAATTTAACACCCTATTCTATTTTCTTACATTTATTTTCATATCTACATGGGTGTTCGTGTGTTTTTACTTGAGAGAGAGAGAGAGAGAGAGAGAGAGAGAGCGAGAGAGAGAGAGAGAGAGAGAGAGAGAG